GATGCCGCGTTTTCGACTCGCCGTCGTTGATTTCATTAATCATTTCAATTAGAATTAATGGCGGAATTAAGCCAGCTTTGTTCCGTCAACCAAAGCCTGAAGTTCAGAAACTATCAGCCGGTTATTTCATTTGCAAATATAATTGAACACGCGCCTCGCTGAAAACGGGGCCGAGTGGTGACTGACAAACGAGAGATCAGACTATCAAAAACGAGAGAAAAGCGAGATATATTTTTTTGTTTTGAAGTATCGTTTGATATGAACTGCCGTGGAAATACGATATTAAATTTGCTTGTTTATTTATCTGTTTGTTTATTTGTTTATTGAAACGTCTATAGGCGAATGATATGTGAAACGGAGACAATATATAGGAGGAATACATATATATATATATAAAAAAAAAAAAAAAAATCGTAATTGTAAAGAATTGCATTAAATTCTCGATGTTTGTGCAAATATTTTCACGAATAACTGTGAGTAGAAATTAAAATGTTACAACTAGTGCTTCATTTCGGAGATATTTTACATATCTCTGCGCGTTTGAATTTCACAGATATTCGCAGTTTATTTATCACCTTTCTCCAGTTTTATGAAAGAGGTCTCGACAACCAATTTCACAGAACAACTCGACAACTATATAAAACTACGCGGGGCATTCCCAGGACGCTCAAAGCTTTAACCGACCAAGCACTCTTCTTTCGCACCCTAATTTCAACTCTACCCTCGAAACTCATTGCCAGTCACACAGCTGTGAACAACTGTGCCAGCGCGTTTCGTCGCCCGAAGCTCTCAGACTTTGAACTCTCGATATTTTAACGAGAGACGTTTAAACGAAAGGCTTTAATTTCCATCGATCCTTACGCATCCTTACGCAACGTGTCACGCCACAACCTGTCAAAGTTTGAAACGAACTCCATCATTCGAGAGTCTATCCTTCCGTATCGATTGATCCACGTCGGGGAGGGGGAAAAAAAAACAAGGTGATGGAAAAGAGAAAGAAAGAGGAAAAAGGCCGAGGAAAAACCAAGTCCGGTACTCGCGCGAGCGAGTATATCGAAAAGTTTCCAGCGTATCGAACGCCGGAACACAGCTATTGAAACGCTGCGCGCAGCTGGAGGACAGAGGGGTGGTGGGTTCGACGGAAAGGAAAGAAGATAGACGGACAGACAGCGGAGGCAGACGGCCGTCTGCTTTCACCCTCGCCGCAGAAACAAGAGGAGGCACAGCCAAGGTATTCCAGTAATTTCAGTCGTAGGAATATTCATGAGCACAGCCACGGCCGAGTGTACTGTTCTGCTTCTATTCACCGTTGCAGATGGGCCAACCAGGGTCAGAAAGCTTGCTTTACGAAGCAGGAAATCCATGCAGATGAGTAGTAGAGGGAGAGAGAATGAGAGAGAGAAAGAGAGAGTGAGAGAGGGGGGGGGGATAGGGGACTCGTGGCGTTAGAACGTGGCGAAAGAGCAAAAGAGACGAACCGGCCGTGACTAACCGGCCAGCATCCATGCTTCAATTAGCCAAAGTGCAGCGACGAAGTTGCTGCCGTGACATCGAGCATCGCCGGTCGTGAACGGTGTCCTCTTTTTCATCGATCGTTTCGACGAAACGCGGGATTGATTTCTTTATTTCTTTTTTTCCTTTTTTTTTAATAATCAAAAGCATACACGGACGTATCCGTGCAATTTAAACACTGGAGAAGCGTGTCTCGGTCTTCTTGCGAGCCATTGTACAAACTGTTGCATTCGCGTCGAAAAATCGAAAATATCCCTTCAATCCTTTTAGTTAATCCTTTTAGTTAAAATAGGTTTGATAAAAATAATATTGATAGTGATAACAAATGATCTACGACGATAAAGAAATTAAAGAAATTATAGAAAGATATGAAGAAATTAATATATAAAGAAGTATATAAAGATATATAAAGAAATTAAAGAAACTAAAGAAAGATAAATTTAGAAATTAAAGAAAGAAATTATGAGGATAAAAAAAACTTATCAATTTCGAGCACAATTATTCGTGTCATATCGTTCTCGATCTTTCACGCAAATGTAATAGTGGTTCAGCGAAAAAAGGGTGGAGACATTGTGAACGGAAACGAAGAACGGAAGAATAGTTCGCTGATAAGCTAACGAATAAACGAAAATCGTAGTAGAGCAGAGTTTCTATTCTTTGCGAGAAGATTTTTGCAAAGATGCATTTTACGACAACTGCGAGCAGGAATATCAAGATAAAGTGTTTTTACAGTGATTTCTAATATCTCCAAGATCTACGATAGAACTTCGTTTATTGGTAGGAAATTTTAGTCAGGCCGTGACTCGATGAAATGAACTCCTTTAGATTGAATCTCGTTATCTGAATAATCTGGATCTTAATATTTGAACGAAAAATCAAGAGAGCCGATGGACTCTCTGCTATTATGCGAATTCCAGATATATATGAACTGTTTGTCCTCCTGAAATGAAGCTCTAGCGGCGCTTAAAATCGAGGTCAATCTTTCTTGCTTTCCTGCTCAACATACTGCGTTTATTATACGACCAAATACTTTGTCGTACGGTTCTAATAATCTTCGTTACTATTGCAACCCCTTAATCATTTTTGGTATTGTGATACTTTCTCAAAAATCACAAATGTATGATTAATCACAGTTACGTTAAACTTTAAATTTTTAACAAATTCTAATATTTTTCGTCGCGAAAGTCTCGGAATTCAAAGTTTTATAAAATGACGAAAGAAAATGGTACAGGAAGTTTCAAATGGGAAACTTTGCTCTTCAAGACTGTGCTGGAATTAGTCTAGTAGAAAAAAATCTTTTACAATATTTTTACAAGACATTCGAATTTTTACAATCCTCTTGGAGCAAAGTACACCCACTTTTGCGCTGTTAATGTCTCTGAAAGAAACTAACTCGAGATTATCAAAGTAGAGATTTCATGCTTTGAAACGAGCCCAAGTGGATCGTACAATTTCTTCTCACGAAGTGAAAACTGTTGTAACAGTCTAAAATCTCGACGAAGTTTCTATCGGATGTTTTGTCAAATAGTTTTGCGACCGGTGTATCGGTGTGCATTATTAATCTTAATATAATTAAATTATACATCAACAAAATCATTTTGTTCGAAATGAGCAAGTCTCTGGTGATTTGCGAACAGGGATGTATTTCCTTTCTGCAAACGTTGGAACACAATTCCAGCCATCAGCGAGAAGAATGTTTTAACGAAGGCAGAGACGATGAAATCGTCTGAGGATCGTCTTAACGCTTTGAAATTGAGAAACCGTGAATACGAATTTCTATCTATCTGTTCGCTCGTTCATCCATTTCCCTATTTGTCTATTTGTCTCAACCCCTTTCTCTCTCCCTTTGTGTCTATCTTGACGCAACGAGTCACATTGTCACGTTGCGAATATCCAGTTTCGATGAATGGAGGCCGCTGTTTGCCCGGGGAACGCGTGGAAACGAGTAAATCAAAAAACGTCGCGAGTGTTGCCGCGAATCGACGCGAAAAAGCCGAATGTTTCGATCCGATCCGGCTCGTAAACACGAAAAAAATGGCCATAAATAATAATAGAGGATGAAAAAAATAAAAAAAAAAAAATGAAGGCGCAGAGGGCAACGCTGGTCGCTTAGCGAATTTTGTCAGCAACGGGCATTGATGTCTCATCAAACGGATAAAGGATGGCGGCGCGAAAATACAAGGGACGCTATATTTCGTTCGGTCGCGTACATCCTTTAATAAACGCGTGACATAATCCGAAGCGAGGGAATGAGCTTTTCAAATGAAATTAAAATCACGTTAAAAAAAGAAAGAGGTCGAATTGAACGTTACATATTATGAATTATTCAGAACAAAACACAGTGCATTACACGGTCAATTATATCTTGTGTGAATGGTCACGTTAGAATGATATAAAATATTAAAGATTCGCAAATTTTTAAAAATACAATATAACGAATAGTTGCAAGGCAATTGCAGTTGCAAAATTTCGTTGAACGCTAAAAAAAAGGAAACCTGCAAATTTTTAAAAAACACGATTACATCGAGATTGAGCATCAAACACTGCGTTTAACGATTTAAAACAATGTGACACGCCACAGCTGTCAGTGGTATCTTGTACAAAAGATGAGTGTTTGATATCGATTACCCACTCCCTGACGAGACTATTCGCCCTTCCCGACAAATTACTGGAATGGCCAGTGATTACAGCGGCGTATAAACTTGATAAACATATCAACCCTTTCATTGTTTGTAACAGCCATTGTGACATGATTGCCAAGCGGAATAAATTAACCAGCGAGAACCAAATTCGGCTACGCGATATTGTGCGTGGTCTGGACTTCATGTTCGATCGTTCGAACACTCGTTTTAATAATCCCCCTCTCGCCCCCTCCATCCTCTTCCCTGCCCCACCCCCCCTCCCCCTCTGTTCCCTCCGCCCGGTAAACGTAAAATATCGATTCCCAGACAATTCACCGGCCGAACGTTATAGAGGAAAGCGCAAATACCTTACCGAAATAAATTCCCGTTAAAAAGGATTTTCCCGCAGGTATATCGATATTTTAATTTTCCAGCGAGTTCACCGTGGTGCTACACGCACCACGGCCCCGTTGTTATTACGTACACGCAACCAGCCTGGCCAACCGTTTCATTCGATCGCCTTAATGAAGTTCCACTTAAGATAGAAACACGCCGCGACGACAACATAATTTAACAGGAATTACGCAAGATTACATCGTTTAGCTACACGCTGAGATATTTTCGCAGTTAACAAGACACAAAGCTCTGCACGGGCTTCGCCGGCGCAATGGGAGAGGCGGGTGAGAAAGAGGCAGGAAGTAGAGGAAAGAGAGAGAGAGAGAGAGAGAGAGAGAGAGAGAGAGAGAGAGAGAGATAGGTTACGCTGTCGGAACCGAAGGGTGAATTCACGAGCGACAAAAGAATCGCGCGTACGCGCCGTCACGACACAGGAGAATTAACGAAATTGTTTGCGAATTTTTGTTGCAGGTCGACCCATGGTTCATCCACCGAGTCAAACAGTCACGGCGAAAGAGGGCGAATCGCTGGTTATCGTGGTGGAATTTTGCGCGGAGCCGAAGTACACCAAGGTGCTCTGGATGTCCGAGAAAAATGTGTACGTACCTGGCGCAGAGACCAGAGACGGTGTACAAGCGCTCGCTATTGAGGTACGTTTCTTGAACTCCTTTTTCCTTTTCTTTTTCTTTTTCTTTTTTCTTTTTTTTTTTTTGGTAATTTTCAATTCGTTATACGCGAAAAATTGAAAACGATATTTGTTTAATACACCTCGAAATTCTACCACTGAAACACAGGTTTATTCGTTTTTGCTCTTTGTGACTTTTAATCAATTTTCATTCAGTTTTGTTGCGTATTCGCAAAATCGAGAAGGCAGCAGCTTTTGTACGGTATATTTTGAACATTTCCCTTACTTTTGAAATACATTTTTGGCTCTCGTTTCTTGCTTTTTCAATTAATTTTCGTTCAGTTTTGTTGCACAGTATGCGGAAAATTGGAAACGATAATGGCTCTTGTATTTCGGGATACTCTTCCTCCGTATCGAAGTACGCTTCTGGTTCGCGTTCCCCGCGAGTTTCAGGAAATTTTTATTCACTCCTGTTGTGCACGGAATATATCGAGCGTAAAAATTGCTCATACACTTGGAATATTTTCCTTGCCGGTGAAATACGTTTCCGACCTTTGTTTCTTGCTCTTTTGGTCATTTATTTTTTCCTTTTTTTCGTTTAATCTCATTGTTCGCGAAGGAACTGAAGACGACGATTGTTAACAATCTCGTTTTACAGGTGCACGCAAGTACGCGTTCGTTAATTCACGAGCCCCGTCTTTCCTCTTACCCTTCTCGATCCGCGCTCGCGTATCTTTCCTACGTGTACCTTGCAGTTCGGTCTTCAATTCCCTTATTTAAAGACTTCTTTCCTCTCGCAATCCTTTCTCTCCCCCCTCCCATCCGTCTTTAATTTCCATTTAAGGATCCCTCGTTTACGCGATTCATCTTCTTTCCTCGGTAATCTCATTGGGAGTCGGGCCTTTAATTTCCACTCGTGAAACCCTTAACCCGGTACCGAACGTTGCCTGTGTAGCTCCGTTAACAGCGATCCCGCTAACAACCGGAAAAGCAAACAAAGAACAGCTCCTTCGGGTCAGATACTCGGCGCGCAGAGTCTCGACTTTCGTACAACACTTCGACTCGCCAATGTTCGTTCCGAAACAGATAGCAGAGATAGCATTCATCTCGGTCAGATACGACTCGTTTTACGCGAGACAAGAAGAGAAAAGAGAGAGAGAGAGAGGGGGGACGGGGAAGAAATTCGCGTTCGAGAACGCAGGAATTCTCGTAACGGCGCGAACGAAGTCTCGCTTTTCAACCGGGTCAACGAAGGAGGCCATCCGCAATTTAACTTTGAAGATGGTCGCGAGCCTCGGCAACCGGGCGATTCCCTCCCGCCCCTCCCGACAACAGGAATAACAAGAAATTCTCGCGAGCACGCGAGAGAATTATACTTTTATCGCGGGGCGACAAACGAACGGTGGTTTCGTGATTTCTTCTCGACGAAATGTACGCCGATGAAAGACTAAAGGGAGGAAATAAGAAAAAAGACAGACAGAGAGAGGGAGAGAAACTGAGCGCCGGAGAGGAAGAACGCTGGTCGCAAACTGTGAAAATATGGGAGAACGAGGAGGAATGAAACGGGATTCGTACGTGGTGCTTGAGCTTATTTCGTTGCCGTGCGACATCGTCCACTTTCGTTTCCTCTCTTTTCTCTCTTACCATTTTATTTTCTGTTTTAAACAGAGTCTAAATACAAAAGACAGATTAAATTTTTTTTTTTTTTTTTTTGAGGAATAACGCGTAGAACCGAATATATATGTATATACATACATATAAAGAGAGGGATTGGTAACTAGCGATGAAAATAAAGTAGAAAAGAAGGAACCTGCGAGGCGTAGTTTTACCGGATTTTACCGGATGCACCTGTTTTCACTAACTTTTAATCCCTTTTGTTCGACGCGGCGATGTTCTTAATTCGTCAAGGATGGCAAAAGAAATAAAGAAAAAAAAAAAAGGAAAGAGAGAAACGCGATTATCTTTGTCCATTTCCCTACCTTCATCGGGAAAATTACGGATTTTATCACGAGGGATCATTCATTAAGACAGGCGGGAAGGGGAGAAAGGAAGGAGAAGAAAGGAATGGCATTTCCTTTAAAGCGTTTAAGCTCTCGCGCGCCGTTTCGCTTATTCTTGCATTATTCCGTTTCCGAGCTTGAAACATGCACGAGGTCTTCGTCTACGCTCGAACAGTCATTCCGTGCTCCATTCGACGGGAATATCGTTTCCTCCAAGAGGGATTAATCACGGGCTTTTCCCCGTCCGCCCTGGAAAACAGACGGCCGTCGTTCGAAAACTGAACGATGTTTCCCCTGTTGCATTAGTTAGAACATCGATTATTCGCTGTGTGTCACGAAACGATGTTCGATTTCTACTCCTCGTGTCCCTCTACGCGTTTGTTAATTACCTGGAAATCACGCCTTGCCGCGACCTCGATGTTTACTCGTCGATAGCCACGAAACTTCGTTCGAGTAATGGAACTGCGTTTCTTTCGAAACACAGTACGTACGTGCAACACGAAACTCCGTTTTATCCGACGGACCTCGTTTCGTACGGCGAGATTTGAAATTCGAATAGCTGGAAAGTTTGAAATCATGAAATTTACGAGAAGGATTTTTAGTAATCCAAGATTTCGCGAATAGAACGTTTCGCTATTTTAACGTGACGTAAGACGATAATAATTCCTGGCCGAGATTCTGAGAACACGTTCGAAATTTGACTGGGAACTTCGCTGATCTGAGTTTTCTACAAACACGAAAAGTAACTAAGTTCTATTTCAAATTGCTCTTTTAAAATACATTCCGAGGTAATCTTCCTCTCTTACAAAGCAAACCGTTAAAACTGCTACACTTTCAGTGAATTACACGAGAACAAAGATTTTCAATGCGTTGGCGCAACTACAGATACGAAGTGCGTGTTAATTTCACAGAGAAAGCAGAAGGGTGGAGGAGGGGGAGGGTTAACTCACAAACGGAAGTATAATTATCCCGAGAACGCGCGGCAACCGGGAAACATAAAAATTTCGCCAACGTGTTTTTCAATTTATCCGAACGAGCGCGTCGCGCGTCGGGGAGAGCTGCCGGCGTGATTACGTAGCACGCGGTAGTCAGCCAGCGGGAACGGGGAACGAGAGGGTAGCTTATTAATTTTTCGTCGGTGGAAGTTCGTCCGGGATAGCTGGTAGCCGATATCGGCATGGTGCGAGGCATTCAAAACAGAATCTGGGTCAAAATAACTACGCTCGCCGCAACACGTGCACCCGGTCTGAGTTTCATCGTTCACCGTCAGTCCCTCTCTCTCTCTCTCTCTCTCTTGGTAACCCTCGCCGAGGAGCTGCAATTCCACGAATTAATTACCCCGCTGTTGCAGCCCTGGATAACAAGGGATATAGAGAGCGCAGGATGGACGGAGGGATAGACAGAGGCAGCCAGGATAAATCACGTACTAACTATACTATCAGTCGTGCTTTCGACGAATGCCGCAGAAATTTCACTTTGAGTTGCGCCTCGGACGGAAAGTTTCTCGATGAAATTTCCCGTTCGACCTCCCTCCCCCTCCTTGCCCCTCCGCGCTTCGCTGCGAACAAAAGCAGCGAGAGGTGTGTTTCGCGACGAGACGCGACACCACGAGTCACAACGCCCCCGATGTGTTTGCACGCGGCTGACAATCAGCGGAACAGAGAGAGAGAGAGAGAGAGAGAGGAAACGCTCGGAAAGGTCGACATCGTCACGCGACACCGTTTCTAAGCTGTTTGCAGACGAAGCAACGAGAGAAAGAAGTTTTTTTCACGACGAGACGCAAGCAATGGAGTTCCGGTATTGCCACCTTGTTCTCACGTGTCCGAGTGTTCAGTTCAGAACGGAGAATGAAGAGGATCTTGAATGGGAGTTGCTCTCGGACGGATCGGACGTTGACGAGTGCATTAGGGACGTCCGTTCGTTCGTAACTTCGTGGATATTGTCCCGGGTGAAATTTTATCTTGCGGGCATTTCGTTTCAGTCAATAGTTTCGACAGTTTACGGGTAATTTAATCGTTGGTAATTATACACGGATAGGATTAATTTTCTGCCTTGATTATCACCAACATTATCTACAACAATTTGAAACAGGCGGTTCCGTTATGGATCTACAGAACGTGATTTTTGCGATTTATAAAGAAAGGATGAGTAATTAGGAGTCTGCAGAAAGTAAGAAATATCGAACGTTTAACTTGTCGTAAGACGTAACGATCGTTATGGCGTCGAAGATCAAACACGCTGAAGCTACACGACCTCTACAAAAATGGGAAAAATTGTCAAGATAAAATCCAACGTCGTTGGAACACTCGTTTCGTAACTACAGCAGAAAGAATCAAAAGGACTCGATTGCACAGTTAAAATTAACTAGGAAAAAAATGACAAAGAAAATGTTGCATCGGCCATTAATTAATATCCAGTGTTCTACGTACATTATGAAATTCATTGTATTACGTAATAAATGTACAAGATCACAATGCAGAGCAACGATTCTGAAAGCAACGTTGAAACGACGATTTCCCCGGTAATTAAATAAAACTGTTCGATGGAAGTAGAATGGTACCTCGGCGTGCTTCATTTATCGCCAATTACTCAAACAGTGGCAGAAGGATGGAAACGTAAATCACGTAGAGCACAGGCTCGTGCGCTCGTGGACTCGTCAGGGAACGGCACAAAGAGGGAAACTGGAGAAAGGTAACCGGAGAGAAAGAGGAAAGCACGGAAAGAACGGAGAACGCGAGGAATTTGGCGGACGGTGTGGCGTGCCGGTGAAACTGAGGAAACGGCGAGAATGAAACGCGAGGTTAAATGGAGCAGGAAACTGCTGCGACTGGTTGCACGCGAAAAATTCGCGAGACTACGGAACGACGTCTGGTTCGAATTCGGTGGAGGAGTTGCGAGTCCGCGGAGACGAGCGGAATCGAATTCAATTACGTAAACGTATTTCTCCATTGGACGGGAGTGGTTTGCTAAACGAAGGGAACGCGAATTGATAAAATGGATGTCATCCGGTATATATCTAATTGAATCGGCCAAGAGCAGCGTAAGTTCGAAGTTAAATGTTTTAGAAGAATTTCAAAAAACTGGAATTTAAACGCGTACGGTAGACCAAAAGGATTGAAGCGATTCGTTCAGTTTAACAAACGCAGAAACGATATTAATTTTTATCGATAAGTTCATCCTTGGAAAGCTACTGCTGATTAACAACAAGTTTTCGTTAAATAATTTTCATTTCAACTACATGATCGAAGTCGTCGCGTTGTTTTGCTTTTTCAATTTCCTCGTTGAAAAGTAACCTGAGTTCAAAGAAGGTACAAGCCTGATGATCTCGTTTTAATTATTAGAGATTTACGGACGAAATTCAATCACAAGCGGATTTATTAATCTAGATTAGCTTAATCGTATTTAAATTGAAATACTATGGAATCAATACAACAATCGATGCCAGCTCCTGTTCTTGTAGTGGTCTCCGATTCTGTTACATCGTCCCTTCTTTTTCACGTTTCTCTTTAATTGTTTTACACGATTCGACTCGCAACACTGTAATTTAATTTCACTTTACGCATACGAAATTAATTTGAAAATCGGGCATCGCGCGATATGATTTCATACGTTTATTTCACTTAAACGTTTCCCCCACTGCTCGTCAGAAATGAATTACCAGAATCACACGACTCTCCCCTTTGATTTCAATACGTTCGATCGGAGACTGTTTTTTCGCTAATTAAACGCGTGTAAAGATAATCAGTGTAATTAACGTGGCTGAATAATACAAGGAAATCGTTTAAACCGCGCGTAATAATCGCGGTTGTCTTCCTTTTCTCGCCTCCAATCTGCATTCACCCGTTCGTGAATTTTATTCCGCTTTTGCCCCTCGTGTCTTTATCAATTTACTTCGAGTCGACGACTCGAAACCGCGCCGATTTAATACGACCGATTCTATCGGGCGGCGTAGAAAAAGCCGAGAGAGACGAGGATTGAGAAAGAAGAGGAACTGTCCTGCGAAAAGAGCAGAAGAAGCTGCAGTTCAACTCGGCGGATAAAGGAAGAAAAAGCGGTAGGAAATCGGAGGTGATACGGGAAACTATTCGAGCGAGAACGCGCCACTATGCAGGAAGTTTTCAGTTTCCCGCGCGGAAGTTGCCACGCAAAAGTTTAATCGCAGGATTCGCTAAGCGGAATCGCGGCAGATAAGAAACGCGATATCGGCGAATCGGCATTATCGAATTCACGAGTTAATGAGCGTCACTCAGATAAAAAGGTCGCCGAAATCGAACCGCTTCGAAACTCTCGCTTAAATATCGCATTCTGCCTTTACGAGCAGAATGCTAGGAAGAGTCTGTTCCTGCATTCATCTGCGTTTAAACCGGTTTTCTTCCCTGTTTCGAACATTTTATTTTATTTTGTTTTCCGTTCAACTTAAATGTTATTCAGAATTGAATTAATCCAATGGGGAAATGTAAAGCATTTAATATAAACAATAACATTTTGTTCAGCTGACACAATCAGGCTCAAGTGATGTTTTGCTATCCTGGTTCACATTACCACATTAATTAATTACTAATAATTCAATCCCAATAAATTAGGCATGAGGAAAAATTTTAGAATAATGTTCTTCAACCCTTGGGTATTACATTTACTTTATATTACACTTTTATTTTATATTTTTCGCTATAGTTCCAATAGCATGTTTATATCTGTCAATAGTTTAAAACCTGTGAAATTTTCTAAAACAGATATATTTCTTATCGCCATGTATCTAAAATCAAAGGGATACTTTGAAATTAAGTTTCAATCTTAATATTTAAAAATAACCCCTAAAAATAACGTTCGTGCATTATGGGTCAAATACTTGCGATAGTTTAACTTTTACTTTTATTTTATTTTCAAATTGATTAACAAAATCAAGTCGTATATATATAATAAAAGGAGTAATATAATAATAATAATGTAATATATATATATATATATATATTAGGAGTTAAATTAATTATTATTATATATATAGGAATGGTAATATATATATATATATATATATAAAATAAAAGGAGTTAAATTAAGGCAAGTATTTGCCGAGTAAACTTTCACCTTCGCCATTCGCATCCGCGCGAGAAAACCAGAAGCATATTTCACCGGGAATGGAAGGAGAAAAAAATCGGTAACCCCGAACTACCCTTGACCCACTCTGTCGTCGATTTCCCTCTCGAAAACTTCCTGAACAGTAACAATTCCGTGAAACTCCTCGGCCAGATAAATTATCCTTTATAACCCCGTGGGCCGGCCGGGGTGCCTAGTAAACCCTTTAAACCTGTCGTGCGAATCGGGTCACGAGTGCTTGACAAACTTGGGGAACACCGGTATCGAATTCATTAACGACGCACGTCTCTCGTTGTTTGCCTTTCAGGACGGTGGCACGGAGTCCTGTTACAGAACGGTGCTGAGCTTCAACGCAATCCAATGGTCTCACGCCGGCGAATGGCTGCTGCTGGTTCGCTCCTCGGAAGGGATCTCGGACGCTTCCGTTTCGTTGTACGTGACGCGCGCCTCCGGCTACAGTCACGCTCACTTCCGGTCACCGAGCCTCACCTATCTGTCGATGTGTCTGGCTTTGGTCATCCTGCAGGAGCATCGTCGCTGAGAGACATCGTCGGGACTAACGTCGAGAGTATCGCCTGTGAGGAGCCGAAGAAGTGGCTTCGAACTTGATTTGGAAAAAAAGAAAGAAGGGAGAAAAATATATATATATATATGTATATGTATATGTATATGTATATCGCGTTAACTTCTCTCCCCGATTAGACGATGAGAGAACAAGGGGGGGGAAGAAAGTCAAAGTTCCATCGGCATTTCCGGCACGTTCGACGATTGTAAATACAAAAGTACTATTATAAATTTCAAACAAAGAGAGGGGCGAGGTGAAGACGAGAAGGGCAGGAATGCGAAGAAATCGTTTCGCATTAGCGTTGTTCTTGACGCGAGGCGAGACTCGATGACGATGCAACGAGAGAACCCTGTTTATTATGTATCGAAAAAGGGGTGAGAGCGCGCTTAAACGAGAAAGCCTTTTATCGACGCTGTCGTTGTCGATGGACGATGCAGAGCTTCCGGCGACGACGATAATCCGGCCTCGACGTTCCTTAATCATGGATCTCGTTGCTAGATTCGTTTTCTTTTTTTCACTTGTCTCTTTTCCTTCCTCTTTTCGTTTGTTTGTACTCTCTTTTTCCTGTTCTGGCCTCCTTCTTTTCGGATCTTCTTGTCGAAGGATTTTCGAGATGATGAACGACTCTAGTTGGAGATTGACGGATCGAAATGGATTTATTTTTCTTTTTTCTCTTTCATTTTATCCTTGTCATTAGTAACGAAAAGAAATTCCCATTGTGCAGTGTGGAATGAAAAGAACGGCGCGCATCTTTTCGTGCGTGTGTTCGATATATATATATCGGAGTCCGCGGCTCGAATCTGGGACTACGACGTAGCCAAATGTCTTTCTCTGGCCTTAAATGGAGAAACGGCGCAGCCGAAATATCGGAGAATACGGTTATTGCGTAGGGGAGAGCTTTGCGAACCAAATCGTCGTGAGATCTCGACTGCGAGTCGCCCGATTTTCTCGCAGCGATTTTCTCGATTAAGCTTAATGAAACGGAATATTCGACGAGGTTACGCGTAACGAGCAGCACGTGTAAATATTTGTATAGTTTATTTGTAAAGAAACTGAGTGGCATGCGAATGTGAGAGGGTAGAGAAGAAACGAAACAAAAGAACAAACGAACGACCGGAAGAGTGCGACGAAGTGGAAGATGTGTAAAAGACGCGTCGAACAAGAGACCAATTTTTACATTCGGGTTCGCAAGAACGTCGACGGCTGAACGTCGATGTATACAATACGATAAACCGTTCGTTCCAATTGTGCGTAATTGTTAGTTAGGGCGTAACGTGAACCAAAGAAACTAACTATTGCGTCGCGAGGCGCAAGAACGATGGAAACGATGGGATTAACTAACGTGCATGGCTAAGGAAACGAAGTAACGAAATGAATTAAACGAAACACAAGAAGTATTCCATAAAAATAACAAAAAAAAAAAAGGAAAAAAAAAGAAAATAGGAACATTAAGGGAATAAAAAAAAAAAGATACACTGTTGTATATTATTTTAGGTAAGTAGCATTAAAACGAAACAAACAAAAATGAAAAAAAGAATAGCGTGTATATAGTGATTGTAAAATGCATAGGCTATCGTACAACCGCGAGGGCTATGCATGACGAATTATACAGTGACGCTGTTAGAGATATATTTATTATTCGTTGATATATTTTTATAAAGTTTTATTTAGCCATAAGTTCTCGTTCGCCTTCCCCCTGGATGTCGTGTACCGATCGATCGTTAGTTTTTCAATCGAGAGTGGCCGTTGAAAAAAGAAAAAAGAAAAAAAAAAAAGAAAAAAGAAAAGAAAGCGTGACGATAACGACGACGACGATGAACAATTCGAACAACGCAGAACTATAACGACAGACAAATAACACGAAACTCCTTCTCAACAAAATTTGAACGTTTCACGATGATTGTGACGACGCGATAAAAACGAACGTATGGAAGAGGCAAAAATTCACACGAACGTGCATAGTAATCGTTGTCCTTCGTGATTAATCGTTTCTCGATCTCTCCGAGAAGAATTGAACATAGCGTCTCGTTTCGATCGTTCCAGTTCCTTTGACAGAGAAAAAGAGAAGGAAGAAAGAAAGAAAGCAAGAAAGAGAGAAAGACAGAGAAAAAAAGACGATGTTGTTGCGTACATTTTTGTAAACGCAGTGGTTCCTAATTTTTGTCAACGCATGCCGGCTGCGATGCGTTCATAAGCTTCGTTCATCCGTTCACGCCTAATCCGCACAGAAGTCGGCATTATTATACACTTTATAGACGCGAGAACGAAAAATTAATCCGATGTTCCCTCCTCCATTTTCTTCCTTACCCCCCCCCCTCCCCCGTCGAATTTCTTTATTTCTCGACATTTTTTAAACGAACGGAAAACGAACGTTTCCCCCGTAGCTCATTTTTCGTTTCATTTCTATCGAATTGCTTAGGTGTTATAAATAAGCAACGTGATGTAATCGTTGTACCCCATGACGCCTAAAAGTCCAATAAATGATATTTACAATATCTGCGTTGATATGAAAATTCCTTTTCCTGATATTTCCGAGTTTTCGACATTTCGAAATTTCAACAAATAAATTTCACCGCGTAATTGTCGTCAACAGACTGCAGATATTTATTTATTTATTTGTTCGAGAGTTAATTTTATTTATTTACTGAAAAATTATCAATTAAACGAAGACTCCCATTTGCAGGAAATTTTAAAATGGGAAATTGCACACGTAATGCAAGAAAATATATAAAGCGGCAAAACATTTGCTACGTGAAACAACTTTTTTAAAATATTTTCATACAATTTAATCATATTTTAAAAAACACGAACATATGTAAAAGACCTCGCAGTCCGGTTATATAATAATTTCTTTCAGGCGCGAGGATATTTTCGCCGATGGAGAAGGAATCAGTCTTCAACGATCACCAGGTCAACCGCGTCAAAGCAGAAACGAAACGAAGAGCAGATAAATTATTTTCGCAAAGAAACCACGCGGTTTCCGCCGACCAACGTGTTTTACGGTCATTTTTTATCTAATGGTTCTTCTCGACGCGACACATTTGAATGCAGTATTTGAGAATCACTCTATTTTTTATTATTCCACGTTCTAGCCTTCTTATTTTCAGAAGTTTTCGCCAAGTTCTATTCTCAGTGTCGGTCAAAATACAGTCGATGTCACTTTTACACCGAATAATTTATAAGCGCTGTTAAAATGAGATTCCAAGATTGAAAACACGAATTCAAAATCGATTAAAAAATATTTCAAACATTTCTAACACTAGAACTCTTGACGCATAAAACTGATCATTCGGATAAGAGCACTTTTATCTACATATAAAATATTTTTAAAAATCAAAAAATGAAAGTCAGTCATTTTTATGACAAATTGATGATTGGCCACTTTGCTTAGCTCCAACGTTAAGTATAAATCGTCGAGTTATTTTGCAAAAGTTAGCAGAGAAAAGAACAACGAATAAGAAACAACGAGAAAATTTGATACACGGTTACAATCATGCTAATAAAGAAGAAACCTCGGAAGGACGTGGTTGCACAAGTAAGCGTGCATTTCACTTCGCTTTAACCGCGACAAGGTTTCAACGTGGTGAAGCAGTAGGAAAGAAAGAACGTCGCCCCGCCGGAAATTCGCGTTCGTCCGCTTCTTTCGTCCCGTAAAATAAGTCACGGCATTTGCCTTGTAAAATATCTACGAAACAGCTTTCCACCCTCGCGTGTCCACGAAGCATCAACTTTTTAAGGTGCGGATGGAAGCTCGAGAAGCGCGACGTTGAACAGAATGAAATATCCGACTCTCGCGTTGTTCATTCCAAATTAAATAGTCTATTGAAAAGGGAGAAGCGAATGATATTCGCAAATACAATTATTTTTTACGCGTCTCAAGCTGATTCGTTGTATATATACGTCACAATTAAAATTAATCCAGTGTTTGGACATATGAAATTTAAAGATACACAAATATACAAAACGTATGTAATGTATCAAAGTAAGTAATCACGAAATATGAAGAATCATTTTTCGTGATTACAAAAGATGAAATTAATTTGCAGATTTTTTTTTAAATTGGTATTTTCGACTGTATAATTGAAAAAAATAGACCTGGATAAAAATATTATTATATCGTGCAAAATATACTTTGAATATCAGTGCTTGTTTCTGCGAATCTTCACTTGAGAATTTCTTACAAAAGCGTCTGCTAATTACTTTTACAATACGATATAATCATTCCGAACTTGATGACTCTATTCGATAAAAAAGATTCCAATTTGCCAGGCGATTTGTTCTAACCACGCTGCATTCGCTGTACCGTATCAAAAATTCCTTTCGATAATTCGTATCAACGCGCGCGTACTCGCAAAGACGACACGTGGCAGCTGTGCCACTTTATTTTCTTAACGGATTAAAATCTCTGCCGGGGAAAATTATGTTGGGGATTTTCGGTGTTGAAGCAGCGCATTTCCTTGCTCCGTTCCAGCTTTAATCTTACCGGCTACGGAGAAAGCCGATCCTCCTAATACATAATGGATCCCTAAGGCCTAAGGGTGAAGGTTCGTCCAATCGGATTAATGGCGTCGGCAGCACTTTTCCCAGCTAAATAATGCTACCGGGATTCGATGCATGCCGGCCCCTTCGTGGCCCGTTTCTCTGCTGAGTACACACCAGATCGGTAACATTCTCCGACACGTACACACCATCCGGCAATATCTCGAATTGCTCGTGATCGACCATCTTGCGAGTACCTTTGCCCGAGCTGCAACTTGCACTTCTGTGCTGACAGCAGAATCCTGTCCAGGAGTTGGAAGTTTCCAAGTAAACGGTGAAAAAAGAGGAACGTATCCTCGTTCGATTACACTACTTCACAAACACTCGATATTTTTCTATTAATTGTTCCATTGAAAATGATATTTTATTCCGTTGCACATCCGTGTTTGCAGAAGAATATCTGTACTGTCTGCTGATAAATTTGAAAGAGAATTTCAGTAACGTATACAGGTATTTAATGACCATGTAAAAATTACGTTTTATCTATTACTGTAGCGTTCAGCGAGCATTGAAAAAAATTCAGTTCATGAAATTTATAAAAACATTGAAAAGAAAAATTCATTAACGGTACAATCATTGATGATACTACTGTAATATCAAGTAATTCACGATGACCAAAAAATAAATACCTTTCGACAGAAAGGTGCCAGTCTCCGATGAAAATTACTGTCGCATTATTTATATCGACGGATGACGGATTTCTTTTGTCCCCTCACTTCTCACGATAAATCTATATGATTCTCTATTTTAAAAAAAATTGTAGACACTGGACGACTAACGCATTTTATGGATTTTCACAAAGTAACAAATGGATCATTCACGAAGACAAACGCAATATCCCTCAGCGATGATAGGTATGTAAATAAGTGAAAAGAAAAAAAAAAAATACAGCCTCGTTTCTGAAGCACGTCTACTTTCATTGTTCGAACCAGGGAGATCTCGTTTTTGCCGGTTCGTTTTCAAGATTCTTTCGCCTATTATTACCGACAACAACAAAGAAAAGACGACTCAACGAGACAGGGGACAGGATGAGATCCCTGGGGACGTTTATCCTCGGCTCGGGAAAGAAGTAAACTACCTAGTTTCGTAACAATATTACTAACATTTATCTCGAGGCTGCCGGTTAGCAGTTTCGCGGGGAAATCAAGTTCATCCACGGCAGACAATTAACAAGGGCCTGGAATCTTTGGTGTACCTATTTCACGGAGCCAGGGCGGGCGCGATGAGGGTGGGTCGAGTCGAATAACGCCAACGCGCGAGCCAGTAAATTACTCTTAACTTCTCCAAGGGTAAAAATTACGGAGTTGTGAGGCCAGAAACCAAGAGGAGGGCTTAAAATTGCCCGGCGTGTACCCCCGGCGCGCCGCTGCCACCCCTTCATCACAACCCCCACGAGGAACCATAATTCTCGCGCTATCTACACCGAAAACTGCTCCTTCTTGCCAGCACTGCAGGCTCGCGGGAATCGCTCGTCATTTATTTATTTTCTCGTCTCTCTCGCGGGACGCGACTATCAGAGAAATCCGCCGCAGATAGACCTATCCCGGAAACGTGCGAACCGTGCGAGCAGTTCCGTCGAAATCTTTGGAACGATATCCGTGAGATCGATTTCGTCGAGAACCGGATGAACAATGTGAAATGATGTCGCAGAAGGAAGAACGAAGAGTATATTCGAGATATTATTTGGAACATTCTATTTATTTGTTTGTTAATGATTAACACGTACTATGATACAGTAAAAGGTGTAACAGCATTAAAAGTTTCATGATACAGTAAAAGGTGTAACAGCATTAAAAGTATTCCTTCGTGGACAACA